TATGGAATTTTAAAATGAAATATATATGAAATGACCACATTATCCTTCATCATCCTCAACTTTATATTTTTATATTTCTATAATAGAAAAATACCAAATTTTATCCAGACAACTTTAAATTTAAATCAAACTTACATTAGTTCACTATTCAGATTAATATGTTTGAAATCAAATAAAAGAAAAAATTTAATTATATAATTTAATGAAGAACTACTCTTTTATAATCTAGTAAACATTTTTAGTTTACTTTAAATGCAAATATACCATCCTATTCATTTTATTTGTGAAGTTACTTTTTAACATCTTTTAAAATATTATTTTTTTTTTAAATATTGAAACTAATTTTATTTATTCTTTAATTTCAATCTAATATATATTATTAATTTATCACACTTGTTTCTTTCCAGGTATATTAATTAGAGACAAAATAAAAGTGAAAATAATTAATTATATTTTAAATAATGAATTTTTATATTAAAGTAGGCATTTTTAGTAAGTATAATGAATAGAAAAAATATTAAGAATTACATTAAAGTAATAGTAAAATAGAGTAATGAATAGATATCACAATAACTCACAAAAAAAGTGAAATTTTAACAAAAGAGTTAATAGTAATAACAATAACTAAAGATGTTTCTAGAACTATTTAGTTTTCTTGTTATCATTTTTGATAGATTTTTGTTTTCATGAAGTTACATTTTTTACCTTCGATCATCATTCACTTCATATATAGAAAGATGTTTTTAGAGTTATTTATTTTTCTTACTATCTCTTAATATAATTTTGTTAGAATGAAATTACATTTTTATTCTTGGTCGTCTTAAATGCAAATATATCATCCTATTCATTTTTATTTGTAAAGTTACTTTCTAACATCTTTTTCTTTGATTTCAATTTAATATATATTATTAATTTTATCACACTTATTTATTTTCAAGTATATTAATTAGAGCCAAAATAAAGGTGAAAATAATTAATTCATAGTAATTTTTTGTATTAAAAGTAGGCATTTTTGATAAGCATAATGAATAGAAAAAATATTAAAAATTAAATTAAAGTAATAGTAAAATAGAGTAATGAATAGATATCACAATAACTCAACAAAAGAAAAGAAAGTGAAGTAATAACAAATAAGTTAATGGTAATAACAATAACTAAAAATGTTTCTAGAACTATTTAATTTTCTTGGTAGGATTTTGTTAGCGTGAAATTACATTTTACCCTTGATCATTATTCACCTCATATATAGAAAGATATTTCTAGAATTATTTACTATCTTTCTTAATAGATTTTTGTTAGAATGAAATTACATTTTTACCCTTGGTCGTCCTACCATTTCACTCTTCTATATAATAGAATAATAGTTAGGAAAATTAAATATTTTTATCTTTTACACCCATTGTACTTTTTTTATTTGTCAAATTTTGACTTAACACGCTTATTAAAAAAATAAAATTGATCCCTTTGAAATAAAAAGAAGGCTGGAAAAAAGAGAGAGCTCCTTTCTTTTCTAGCTTTGGCGGGAGGAATGAAAATCCTATCCTATACGAAGGCCTATATACAAAAAAAAGCACTTTGCCTAGAATCCCAAGTTGCCTCCCCTCTCCTCTGAGGCGATCACATCCACTTTTGGAGCCCCTCGCCTTTGAGTACGGCAGCAGCCCAGACATAGACCTAATTAGGGGCCTAAACTCTTGAGTAGATTGCCTATGGAAGGGAGCTTACCTCAAGATCTGACTCCCCCCGTGTAGGAGTTCGGGAAGGCTGCTTCAATGGCTCGATATGAAAGACGACCAGATCTACAATTTTAGTGCCATATCTTCCAAAACCAAGTTGTGTACCGTCCGATTTGCAACCCCTACTACATCTGCCTTTACGGGTAGTTCCTACAAAGGATCGGACTAATGACGTATACAATACTTGAATTCTCGATGTAGATGCTACATAGTTGGTTCTCATCCTTCAGAGACTACAAGTGTAATAAGAGCATCCGTCGACAAAAGGATCACCCTAAGATGATCATCTCGTGGCTATTGAGAATGAATGAAATTAGATGGTTCTATTTCTCAATCTTTCTGACTTGCTCCTACGAAATCAAGGTCGAAAAGATTGCAAAAATCAGTCATTCACAACCATTGATGAAGGATTCCTCGAAAAGTTAACCCCTTTAGATCGTTCTATTCGTGCTTGAAAAACGGCTGACAGATGTCCCATGCCACCTTTCGTGAACAGCTATTCCCGAGAATGCATTGTGGTATAGCGCCGAATAAGCCACAGCTCTATTCCCGACTCGAAATCCATAAAGGACTTTAAGGGAGATAAAATAGGGGGCCCTATACCATACATCCTGCTGCCTTGGGATGACTGCACGTTACATCATAGCAGCACGACCAAATGGAGGTGGAAAGCCCTTGTATAGGTTGGGCGCTAGCTAGCGCCTTCCTTATACTAATAGAAAATGTTGGGCCTTCCCCTTATTTATTTTTATTAGTAAAGTTGCTTGAGGACTTCTACTGGGAATGAAAGTTTTTATCATTTTACCCTATTTATTAGTAGGGTCCCAAATATATCTACTCACTACATTTCAAAGACGTTAGTTCAATGGTAATATATTGAGGATATAATAAGAAAAATAAAATTATTCTTCTTTGATTTGTTAAAAATATAATAAGTAAAATGAAAAATCAAATTAGATAATATTTGACAAGTAATACGGATTGAGGGAGTACTAAATATTTCCAAACACAAGAAAAATGAAAAAGAAATTGTCTCCTAAACCAAGTTCAAAGTTGAATTTGGAAATTAGTTTTTATGTATATCACTTAATTTTATATCAAGATAACTTTACCAGAGCTCCCTACAAAGATTTTTTACTTTTTCAAGACTTGAACTCAAAATTGTAATTTTATTTTTTTCAATTGAGTGAATTAAATGAAAGTTCTGTTGGGAAATTTCATTTCAATGAATGGCCTTCTTTTTTTCATCCTAAATACATTAATTTTCTATTGATGATTTCAAATTTTTTTGACATTATAATGGATTGGGTCTCGAATAAATTTAAATATTAATTTTGATTTTTTTAAAAATATTCTTTTCTAAAATCTACAACTACGAAGTCATTAAATTGGTACCAAAAGTTACATTTCATATCAAAATAAATATGAAAACTAACTAAGCAAAGGTGAGTGACTTTTACAAGATAAAATAAAGTTGAGCAACTATAATGGTTAATTACCAAAAGTTGAGTGATCAATGATCATCACACTTCTACTCGAAATTCTCCATTGTTCATCAAGTAGCTCCTCTAAATCAATTGATAGCTCCATAAAATTTATTTGTATTGATAGTGTAAGGTGCTCCTGCTTTTTCGGGATAAGAAGGGGTAGAGATAATGCCTCGAGCCAATGTTCGAATACCAGGACTACAGTGATGTGTTTCTTTCACGACATCCTATAGTCGTGGGTGTCTTCTCATGGTCTTTTAGCCTTAGAAGAAGTCATGTCCACCTTCTCATGGTCTTCTAGCCTTAGAAGAAGTCATGTCCGCCCTGGACATTTGCAACGTCGTCCTTTGAAATTCTAATCTTGGAGAACTAAAAGACCCATTCGGTGAATAGATGTTGAACTCAAAAATTTAGAATTTCTCAGTTCCATAAATTAGACATAAAATTTGAACATAAACAATGCTTATAACTGAACATAAGCAGTACCAAAAAATTGAACAGCACTCAAAAAACATAAAAAGAATAAACCAACAACATCAACAATTTCATGTATGTTTACTTTGGGAAGTGAAAGATTCGGAGTTCCGTGAGCTTAAATACTTAAAACTAAACAACCTCAAAGTTGCACAATGGTCCGTCTCCAATGATGCTTCCTATGCTTGAACATTTGGTTTTAATGAAACGTAACGGCTTGAGAAAATCCCTTCTCATTTTGATTGATGCATCTCTATGTAGGAGCATAGGATGCTAGCTCTGTACAATTGATTTGCTCAACTTACTATAAAGTTGCATTTATTTTGATCAGTATGGTGTTAGAGTTACCTGAATTAGCAGCCCATCCCCTCAAATAAGCCTAAGAAAAAGTTCTGTATTAGAAATAACAGTTCATTTTCTTACTTAATAATTTGTATCAAATAATACTAGCAAAATAAACATGTTCTGGTATAAAAGAAAATTGTACATGTACTCAGATGAACTTGGAAAGAACATATCACAGTCAAGGAGATGATTTTCTAGCCCAATCGAGAGGATGTATAGTAACTACGAATGCTTCATTTGCCATATCTTCGTGTTTTGTTGTTTGAATTTCCTGAGCTGAATTGGCAATAGAGTAGCTACACTAGTTTACTTCAGTGCTTCTTAGAGATTAGTGGTGGCAAATGGGCTGGTTGAAAATGGGTCAACATAATCCTATGCTCCGACTTCATACATGATCCTAATAGAAGTGAAATATTAGTTGGTACTGTTTTCTTCAGGATTATGTTGAATTACAGGCTCTTGGAGACGAAGTGCATACTCCAAACTCCACAGCACCTCACCCATAGATGGCCTATCTACACCAGAATCAGCTAAGCATTTCACTGCTGTTTCTCCAAACTTTCGGAGGGAATCTGGTCTTATTTTGCCAACAAGATTGGGATCTATGATTTTTTTGAGTTGTCCCCCCGTCTGCGAATTCCTTGCCCATTCAGCTAAGTTTAACTGCTCCCTCGGAAGAGATTGATCTACTGCAGGCCTAGCACAAACAACTTCACATAAAACAACACCGAAAGAATAAACATCAGATTTTTCTGTCAGCTATAGGCTTTTAATATATTCAGGGTCAAGGTAGCCAAAAAGATCCTTTCACGACTGTGCTAAGATGGGTTTCATCAAATTCAGTGCTTGTCTTGGATATTCCAAAATCAGCAACTTTCGCCACAAAATTCTCATCAAGCAATATGTTTGCAGACGTGACATCACAACGTATAATTCGGCTAGTATGAAGGTAGTGCAGACCTCTGGCTACCCCAATGCATATCTCCAGCCTCTGCTCCCAGCTCATACTGGGTAGATCTGAGCCATACAAATGGCTACTGAGATTCCCATTCTCCATGTACTCATAAATTAGAATCAACTCATTATTTTCATCACAGTATCCAATCAATGAAACCAGATAGGGATGACGGAGCTGAGAGAGCATCTCAATTTCTGTTTGGAACTCTTCAATACCTTGTGAGGACTCAAGTTTACGCCTTTTCAAGGCGACCTTTGTTCCATCACACAAAACACCCCTGTAAACCTTCCCAAATCCACCATCTGCAATGAGAAACTAATTTTCATCGAAGTTGTTAGTTGCTTTCTGCAAAGCTGCAAAAGGAACTCGATGACTTGTCGAAGTTGTTCCCTTGGAATGCTTGCCTCCCATGGTTTGCTATTACCATTAGTAGATAAAGGAATCCATGACTTTGATCAATAGAAGCTTCTACATGAAAATCACACATAAATGTAAGCAGAACACAAGTTGTGAGAGATTTGGAGGAGAAGACGAGAGATTGGAAACTGTAGACTGTAGAGTGAGTGAAGCCAAAAACATTATCCAAACGGGAAATAACGATTCTAATCCCTGTATTGTTGCATAATTATTCCTATTTTAGTTTCTATGTTGCAGTTTTCGTCATTTAAGTCAACAAGGTTAACTAATTTTAACCAAATGATTATTTTAAAATAGATAACGTAAAATAAATTGAAGGGTTGATGATTTTAAATGTTTGAAGATTTATGTGTATAAAAAATTGATTTTAATAAAAATTAGATGCTAAATTTTTTTAAGACTAAAAATTGTTAGGACACCATTGATAACTTTAAGGAGTCTGTTCACCGACTAAACCCTTTCAAATGTAATCGTATTTGATCTTGATTAGTAACCATTCAAAAAAGAGAGGAAGAATGAGTTGCTAATAAATAAAAAACAGAGCAAACAGAGAAGCAAATGAGATCAATTTTATATATTTAAGATAATTATTCTAATTGTATATTTTGTTAAAAAAATTGAATATAATTTTAATTCTTCTATATTTTCAAATAATCATTTTATTAAATAGTTAACTTCAAGGATCAAAATCACACACTTCAAATAATTGAAGGTTAAACGTGCATAGTTCACTAACACACGAATTAAAACTGGAATTATGCAACCTCAAAGTTGCACAATGGTCTGTCTCGAATGATGCTTTTCCTAAGCTTTGAACATTTTATTTCAGTGAAATGTAAGCAGCTTGAGAAAATCCCTTGACGTATCTCTAAGAAGCATTGAAGTAAACTAGTGTAGCTGCTCTATTGCCAATTCAACTCAAGAAATTCAAACTACACAACGCGAATATATGGCAAACAATGCATTCGTAGTTGCTATATACAATGTAACCTCCCGACTGGGCTAGAAGATTATCTCCTTGACTGTGATATCTATGTTCATACGAGTGCATTTTTCTTTTATGCCAGAACATGTTTATTTTGTTAGTATTACTGCTAGTGTTACTTGATACACATATTATGTACTAAGAAATTGGACTCTATTGGTCTTGAGTACAATCATTTGCTGCCTTCTTGAAAAGTTGAAGAAGCAACAACCTAAGCTTCCGGTATACATACATCTTCAACAAGACAATCTCCAATGTTGAAGTGATTAGTAATGCATAACATATTGAGGGAAGTATTCAAGTATGACCAGTCAGGAAACTAAGCAATTACAGTTTGCATTATGATGGAATTTGACATGAAACTTCATTACTTTTTCTAAGAATACACAACATGTGAAACAACCGGACACCTCAAATCCACAGGTAGAGCAATGCATTATTTCTATATACAACTAAGAACCTAGTTATATAAATTGTTACAAAAGCCAAAAATAAATATTCATATGTGGAATCAACAAACACCTAAAGAAGGTATTTACCATTTTCACTTAGTTATCTCGTACTTATAACCTCATCACTAGAGAGATCACAATACGAATTTGATGTTCCGATCTGAGCAGCACTACAACTGGCATTAACATGACTGAAATCATTAATTTGCAGTGATAGCTTGCCAAGAGGGATGATACTGTTTTCTTGCATGACAGGCTCTTGGAGATGAAGTGCATACTCCAAATTCCACAGCACCTCACCCATAGATGGCCTATCTACACCAGAATCAGCTAAGCATTTCTCCGCTGTTTCTCCAAACTTTCTTAGGGAATCTGGTCTTATTTTGCCCAGAAGATTGGGATCTATGATTCGTTCCAGTTGTCCCTTCGTCATCCAATTCATTGCCCATTTAGCTAAACTAACCATCCCCCTCGAAAGATAACCAGGCTTAGCACAAAGAACTTCGAATAAAACAACACCGAAAGAATAAACATCAGACTTTTCTGTCAGATGTAGGGTTCTATAATATTCAGGGTCAAGGTAGCCCATTGTTCCTTTCATCAATTTGGTAGTATGGATTCGATCAAGCTCAGGCCCTTTCTTGGATAGTCCAAAATCAGTAATTTTTGGCACAAAATTCTCATCAAGCAATATGTTTGTAGACTTGGCATCACAATGTATAACTGCGTTGGTATGAAGGTAGTGAAGACCTCTGGCTGCCTCGATGCATATCTCCAGCCTCTGCTCCCAGCTCATAGTGGGAAGACGTAGATCTGATCCATACAAATGGCTACTGAGGTTCCCATTCTCCATGTACTCATAAATTAGAATCATCTCATTTCTTTCATCACAGTATCCTATCAATGAAACCAAATAGGGATGGCGGAACTGAGAGAGCATCTCAATTTTTGTTCGGAACTCTTCAATACCTTGTCCGGACTTAAGGTAACGCCTTTTCAGGACCACCTTTGTGCCATCACAGAAAACACCCCTGTAAACCTCCCCAAAATCACCCACTCCAATGATCAAACGTTCATCGAAGTAGTTAGTTGCTTCCTGCAAAGCTGCAAAAGGCACTCCATCAGTTGTTCCTTTGGAATGCTTGCTTCCCATGGTGTGCTAAAACCATTAATCAAAGTAAAAATTGAGGAATCAAATCACAAACATAAAAACAGAAGACGAGAGACTGAAACTGTAGAGGGAGAGAACCCAAAAGTCAAACACCTCATTATCCATTTAGCTATACGAAAACACTGCTCTGCTGTGACTCAACTACGAATTTAATTTTTTCCCCCAAACTAACTGCATTATATTACCGTATGGGTTGAGGCCACCGTTGAGCCTTATACGGTAAGAAACACGTTATTCATGTATTAATTTTCATATAATTTATACGACATTTGATAGGCAAATAGAAAATAAGTTATTTATGTACCAAATGAATACGACGTTTGACTGACAATTTAGAAACTCGCATAATTAATACATATATAAGTTAGAAGGAAATCTATGTATTAATTTATACAAAATAGAAAATAGAATAACTAATCCTGTGACAAGAAGGAGTTGCTCAAACGGTAAGCACCCTCACTTCCAACCTTAACGTTGTGAGTTCGAGTCAAGCCTTTAAGGAAGCAAAGCTGAGAGCAATGTCACAAAATAGAGATAATATGGTCACTTAACTATAAACTTTTTTCTTAGAAAGTCATTTTACTTTAGTTTTTAATTCAAAAGTCACTCAACTATGAGTTTTTCTCTTAGAAAGTCACTCAACTTTAAATTTTGACCCAAAAGTCACTGAACTATGAGTTTTTCTATTAGAAAGTCACTCAACTATGAAAATTTTACTTATAAAGTCACTCTATCTATTTAATTGATTTTTCATTAAAATTTGTTGATATTCAATTTTTATTTAAAACTAAATTTTAAGAAATAAAAATATATCTATTTAAATTATTTTAATAATCCATCCCATTAAAAAGATGTTTATTCAAATCATCTGGCCTTATATTTGTGCATGATTAATCAGCAGCAGTGTGTAACTTTTAAATTTAGATATTTATTAATTGTATCAAGACCGACGTGATGTTGATTCTTAACCAAAAAAAAAACATATTACAATAACTGGAATTAATTTGAAATGATAGAAAAATCAATGGCATGCAGAGGGATTTAATTTCTCAATATGGTTTAATTAAATATATTTTTATTTCTTAAAATTTTGGTTTTAAATAAAAATTACATATCAACAAATTTTAATGAAAAATTAATTAAATAGATAGAGTGACTTTATAAGTAAAACTTTTATAGTTGAATGACTTTATGAGAGAAAAACTCATAGTTGAATGACTTTTAGATTAAATATCAAAGTTGAGTTTCTGAGAAAAAAATGCATAGTTGAGTGACTTTTTAGGTTAAAATGCATAGTTGAGTGACTTTTTATAATAAAAGTCTATGGTTGAGTGTCCATCTGTGATATTATCTCTCACAAAATAATTGTTTATTGTAGAGGAGGTGCAATTGTGATGTAATAATTGATGAATTAATGGTTATTGTTTTATTTTGTATGTACACAGGAATGTAGTGTATAATTTAGATGTAATATTTATAAGGATGTGGAGCGCTTTCCTTTTTAATGCTTATGTTCGAATGAATTAATAGATTTTAAGAATTAAACCAAATAAATAAACTTTAGGTGCCAGAATAAATATTCACTCCTCCAAAAAAATTACTAAACCAAATATAGGGAAGTTCCCACAGCTGAATTTAAAAAAAATAATACTGGAAATCAATGCTAAAAGTTGAAAAAAAAAGTATTGGACAACAACCATTCGAGAAATCGGTAAGGGGGAATATTCCACCTTAGCGAGAAGCCTCCGCGCGAGGGATGGTGGATGAAGCAAAAACGAGAATGTCGGCTTGAGTAACGCAAACATTGATGAAAATTCAATGCCTCAAAAACCTATCTGTAAGGTTTGTCCATGGAGGGTGAGTCAGTACCTAAGATCAGGCTGAAAGGCGTAGTCGATGGACAATAGGGGAATATTCCTGTACTGTACTGCCCCTTATTGGTCCAGAGCAACAGATGGTAATCGGTTGTAAGCTATCACTGCTTTTTCAGGGTAAGAAGGGTAGAGAAAATGCCCTCGGGCCAATGTTCGAATACCAGGCGCTATGCCTGCGTTGGCTTCTTTCACGACATGCTATAGTCCTAGGTGTCTTCCGGTGGTCTTCTAGCCTTAGAAGACGTCATTGCTGCCTCCAGCAATGCCCTCTGATATTCTAATCTGACCATTTGGTGACTTTTGTGGTCGCCCACACTAAACTAACTTGAATTTGAATAGAAACTCAAAAAAAAATAGAGTTTCGCAATTCCAGAATTTGGCATAAACAATGCTTAGAACTGAGCATAAACACTCAAAAGCCATAAAAAATAAATCAATAACATCAACAGTTTCATGTATGTTTTACTTTCAGAGTTCCGTGAGCTCAAATACTTAAACCTGGACAACCTCAAAGTTGCACAATGGTGTGTCTCCGATGATGCTTTTCAAGTAGCAAGAAGCTTCCAGTATAGCAATTCAAGCAGCAAGAAGCTTCTAAACAATTACAGTTTGAATTATGATGGAATTTATTACTCTACTTTATTACTTGTTCTAAGAAAAAGTAATTGAATGGTACCTGATACTTGTACTGGTGGAATTACCAAGGTACACAACAGATGGACCAGACACCACCATTATATAAAAAAAAAGAATGAAGATATGTAAGCAGGAGGTCGTCAGTTTAGAGCTGTCAATATGGGCTAGCCCACCTCATCCGGGCTAACCCATACAGGCTTTGACATTTTACGGGTCAGGCCGGGCTAGCCCATTTTTGGTGTGGGCCAAAAAACGGTCGGCCCAACCCACAAGTACATGGGCTACAGGCTTGCTGGGCCAGCCCATTTTTTTAAATTTTTTTTTTTTTTTATAATTATTAAAATAAATTATAAATTATAATTTAAAAATATTATCATAAATATCGACAAAACAATATTACATCATGTTAATGTTACTACTTGTTAATCAAATCCACAAATAAAATTATCTTTATAATATATATTAAGGTTTTTTCAAATAAAAGTATAACTATATAAATAGAAATATTAATCTAATTGTTTTGTCACATTAAAACACAAAAAATGTGACAATATTCCAACCATAAAAAAGTTAAAAATAAACTCCTTAAAAAATCATGAAACTTATGGCATATCTAACACATCATGAAATCTATGGCATATCCAACACTTCATGATCATCTTCATCAAGCATATCTGAATCAGCTTGTGGCAAGGTTGTCTTAACATCTTCATTTTCATCTGCAATTTATATGACGGTTTCAATTAGTTAAATATTAAATAGATTTTGAGTTTCGATTCTCTTTAATTTTAAATTTTAATATTATATTATATTTTTTAAATTATTTTTATTTGGCCCACGGGCCGGCCCTACCTATATTTCTCAAGCCCCACAAATCAGCAGACTTATTCAGGCCGGGCTAAAAAACCCTTTTCTTAAAATGGGCTCCAAAAATCTTAGCCCAGCCCTATTAAATCCCGGGTTAAGCCAGGCTGACCCAACAGGCCTAGCCCATATTGACGGCTCTACGTCACTAAACAATATGATGATAGTCTAAAAAGAAAGATCATATTTCATACTAGCTATGTTTATTACCTCATGTAACATCATATGGTTTTCAACACCAAATAGACAGAACTTCCATCTTTCGATAAAAAGTATCTCTTGTTTTTCATTCCCATTCCCATAAGAATGAATATAATTATGATTCAAGGATGAATTATTCAAAGAAAGTTGACACGTGGATGACAACACTGAGCAAACAATTTGGATCTCCTGAAGAGACTGACCAAATAGGATGCAACTTTAATGTCCCAAATCTATCACTTGTTATTAGAAACAGTTCATGAGAAAGGGAAATTGTTGTTACTTCTCAAAAAATAAATGAAAAGAGGATCCACTGGTAGAACAATGCATGTTTTCAAAGTTAACATTCTTTCAATATACAACTCAGATCTAATTGTTGATAAAACCAAAAATAAAAATCTTCATATGATTCATGAACCTAAGTGGAATTAACAAACACCTAAGGAAGGTATGTACCATTTTCACTTAGTTATCTCAGACTTATAACCTTATAGAGAGATGTACGAATTTAATGTCCCGATCTGAGCAGCATTAGAACTGACATCAACATGACTGAAATCATTGATTTGCAGTGATAGCTCGCCAATAGGGATGCTACTGTTTTCTTGAATTACAGGCTCTTGGAGATGAAGTGCATACTCCAAATTCCACAGCACCTCACCCATAGATGGCCTATCTACACCAGAATAAGCTAAACATTTCACCGCTGTTTCTCCAAACTTCCTGAGGGAATCTGGTCTTACTTTGCCCTGAAGTTTGGGATCTATGCTTTGTTTGAGTTGTCCCTTTTTCTGCCAATTCATTGCCCATCCAGCTAAGTTGACCTGCTCCCTCGGAAGAGATGAATCTATTGCAGGCCTAGCACAAACAACTTCACATAAAACAACACCGAAAGAATAAACATCAGATTTTTCTGTCAGTTTCCTCGTTATATAATATTCAAGGTCAAGGTAGCCAATAGATCCTCTCACGACTGTACTAACATGAGTTTGTTCAAGCTCAGGTGCTTTCTTGGATAATCCAAAATCAGTAATTTTTGGCACAAAATTCTCATCAAGCAATATGTTTGTAGACTTGACATCACGATGTATAATTCCGCTAGTATGAAGGTAATGCAGACCTCTGGCTACCCCAATACATATCTCCAGCCTCTGTTCCCATCTCATAGTGGGTGGATCTGAGTCATACAAATGTTTTTTTAGGTTCCCATAAATTAGAATCATCTCATTATTTTCATCACAGTATCCCATCCATGAAACCAGATGCGGATGGCGGAGCTGTGAGAGCATTTCAATTTCTGTTCGGAACTCTTTAATACTTTGTCGAGACTTAGGATTACCCCATTTCAAGGCCACCTTTGTGCCATCACACAAAACACCCCTGTAAACCTTCCCAAATCCACCCTCTGCAATGACAAACTTTTCATCAGTTGCTTCCTCCAAATCTACAAAAGGAACTCGAAAACTTTTAAATGGAACTGGATCACTAGTGGAAGTTGTTCCCTTGGAATGCTTGCTTCCCATGATATGCTACCACCATTAATACATAAAGGAATCCATGCCTTTGATCTACTCCTACCTCCTATCTTAAAGCAAAATCACAATAAGTTTTCAAGTAGATAACAAATATGAACCCTAAGAAAGATGTAGAACAATTGCAACTATAATAGAAGCTTCTACATGAAAATCACAAATACATGTAAACGCACAGAAGCTTGAGGAAGCTGTGATTTTACCACAACAATGGAGATTTGGAGGTGAAGACGAGAGACTGAAAATTCTTACCTGTTGAGTGAGAGAAGCCAAAAGTCATTATCCATAAATTTGATCATACACTTATACATCATTAAGTTATAATCAATTAATATTCCCTGCACATAATCTATGTTAGCTTTTAGGCATAGATTCTTTGGAAAATCTCTATGCGAAATTATTTAGCAAAGGCTATTAAATTTTATATTAATAAAAAATAGCTCACCTATACCGTTTCTCACTTTCTCTTATAAAATTACTTTAGGATTTTTCATGAAAAAAATAATCTAATTTAGTAAAATATTTATATTTTTTAAGTTATATATAAAAACATAGACCCCAAAAATAATAAAATATCAAAATATTCAATATCAAAGATCAAATCCACTCATAAATATTAAAATATCAAACTAAATTCTCATAATATCGGAAGTATTCAAAAAATTATTCAAGTATGTGAAATTATTTAGCTATATCACTTAACTTAGTTTTATAATTATTTAAAAATACCTTTTTAAAGAATAAAATAAAAAAGTTGTTTTTTTTAGCTTTTGCTTTACTTTTAGTCCCACTTTTTTTTCTTAGCTTTTTGCTTTGGGATTTTATTCTTAAGCTTTTTCAGCTTTCTTTTCATTTGCATTTGTACTACTAATGATATGTTGTTAATAAAATACACCTACTAAGGTCTTTTTAGGAGTAGATATCTTAAAAGATCACTTAATTATGGAAGATTATCTAAAAAAAAAGTCATTAAATTTTATTTTGTATCAATAAAATTATTCAATTTAAGACTTTTATCTTCAAAAACCATTCAATTACAGAAGAATGGTCAATTCGAGGGATAAGAGTCTGAAAAATACCCCAACTATGGTCGAATTTGCTGTTGCAATACTAAACTTTCATAAGGACCTATTACCTCACTAGACTATTAACACCGTATTTTTTACCCCCTGAACTATTTAATAGTGTATTTTAAAGGTATATATGTGCCCACGTGGACACATTACTATTTATAATTTTGCATTATTTTTTATGTCCACGTGGGCAAATATATATGTTTAAAATACAGTATTAAATAGTCTAGGGAGGTAATAGGTCATCATGAAAGTTTAGTATCGCAACAGCTAATGCGACCAAAGTTGGGGTATTTTTCAGACCCTTATCCCGTCAATTCGAACAAAAGAGCTTCATGAAATGGTTGAAACGTTGAGGATCGATCATTTCAAAGAATATTATTTTCATTTTTATGCAAAATTGTGTTTGTAACGTGCATGTTTAGAAGTCAAAGCACAAGCTTTCAAATTGAATCAAAAAATAAATTTCAATGTAATGTTTAATACAATTAAAAAAAATTAGATTTGGATCTATTTTAAAAAATTCTTTTAAGTTTTATTTGTCCATTAGTGTTCAAATATTCAAAAATATATATAATACAATGTTTCTCTTTAAAAAAAAAAGAATTTGAAAATGAAAGGCCCCCATGTCCCTCTAACCCGGTTCCCTAAAGATCGGCCCACTGGGAATCAATAGTGGGTCGGTTCGGTCCCTCCAGAGTTCTACTAAGCCGGTTCACTAAACTTTTCCAACTCTAATTTATATAGGGAAAAATGATAAATATATTCCCGAACTATCGTAAATGGTATGCAGATACCCCGTCATACTTTTGGGACATTGGTGCCCCTGCCATCCAAAAAACTAGAGCATATATACCCTTTATACTAACTGACATACACGTGTCATAATCTTATCCACCGAGCCGATGGATAAGATTGCACCACGTGTCCCTATTTAGTCTTCCGTTAGAGTGAAGGGTATATATGCTCTAGTTTTTGGACGGCAAGGGCATCAACGTCCCAAAAGTATAACGGAGGGTATCTGCATACCATTTACGATAGTTCGAGGGTATATTTGTCATTTGTCCCATTATATATATATATATAATATGTGGACTACGAAATATTTTTATTTTGTAGATGTATTATTTAATCGATAAATTAGTATTTATAAATTTAAAGAGTGTTTTGAGATTTAATAAAGGTTACTTTTGATTATATCAAAATTATTGTATCTTACTAATTTATAATACATCAAAATAATTGTATCCTATTAAATTATGTATCATATTTATTGAATTCATATGAAAAATAAAGGAAAAATTGTGCATAATAGCAAACATTTAAACGATATTGAATGTTATAGCTACTGTTTTGATTTCCCCAAATTTTGCTATTCGTTTAGTTTATATAATTCGGCTAAATTGTATAATTCGTCTGATTGTATAAATCAGAATTTTGTATAATGTGGTTCCTGATTGTATAAATCTAGAACTTGTATATGCTTACCCTAGCTATTTTTATACGATTTATGAAAAGTTCACAATAAATACCTTGTTTGTATATTGGCAAGCGAAGTCTACAAACGGAGTTCTAAAAATTCCATAAATGTATAAATATAGAATTTGTATATACTTACCTTATTTGTATATTCACAAGTAAAATATACAAACGGACAAGCGAAATATACAAACCGCGCAAAATATACAAACGACAACCTCCATAGCAAACGAATCTATAGCTATGGAGCGCAATTACTAAAATTATAGTTATAGAGCTTTGTTATGTCTTTATGTTTGCTATTTATGAAATTTTCTCAAAAATAAATTCATTATACATAATGTACAATGTATGTGTATGATTCATTTTTTTTTTTGTTATATATTCATTGTAAAATAAATTCAAGAATTCAATGATTTATTGTAAAATTACACATAATGTTCATTGTTTCTTAATAATCAATTATTATTCACTATATCTTTACTAAGAACATTCAATGTATGATAGTAAGAGAAATAAATTATATAAGCAACACATGAATATTCTTGAATCATATCCGAAAATTACTTCTCATTTAAAAGTGTCACAAAATCAACAATGACGGATCAAATACATAAAACATTATGTGGATACAAAAGAGATCATTCCATATAGGGCTGTATAAAATCGAACCGAAAATCGAGTCAACCCGGAAAAAAAAATCCGACTAGTGGTTTGGTTTGACTTGGTTTGGTTTTGAAAAAAAATACCCGACTATATTTGGGTTGGTTTGGTTTTAACTAAAAAAAACCAACCCGAGACCAA